ATCAATGTATTCTATTTTATTTTGCTTGATATACACTGAGAGCTTATGCACCAAAGACAAATTCCTTGTATGTCCAATCACGCTTGACCAATAAAGAATTCTGTTCTGTTCTGTTCTGTTCTGTTCTATTCTATTCTATTCTATTCTACTCTGCTCTGCTCTGCTCTGCTCTGCTCTACTCTACTCTATTCTAATTTTGCTTGTCAGAAGGTCACAAAAGGAGATCACATGACCTTGAGATACAGCAAAAGTCATAAATATGAACCGGTTGCCCATCTTCTGAGTTTTGATCACTTTATCATGGGAATGCTGCAAAGGTTGTAACTATGAAAAACAGTCATAAGTGATTTTTTTCAGTGCTGTTGAAACTTTGAACGGTCACTAAACGAACTGCTGTAAGTCTAGGACTACCTGTATAACTACCAACACTGCTCCAAAGAAAGAGTCATTGTAAATAATACATTTGTTTTAACTCCGTCATCTTCTTTCAACAATGAAGATCCTGTTCAATATCCTAGCATCATCAAGTTGCTCTCAGCCTGAGGCAAAAATAGTTTGTGTCAAAACTCAGCGTAATAGGAATGACATACAAATACAGGATGCTGGAGCTATTATTTGAGACTTCATCTCCCAACACCTCATTACACCTCTTTGCAATTTCACACCCGAGCTCTGATGAACCTTCAGGTAAATCACAGGATGTATGTGTTGCTTAGTATCCACAACAGAGATGGTATTCATCAGGTTCTGACCAGTTCTGGAGAACCGATAGCAGAAATTTTGAGTAGTTCAGAGGTGGTAGATCCCACCTCTGACCCCACCCCCATCTATTCTCTCCCTGCTGATCGGAAGGAAATGGGGATTTTGCAGTAACCTTCCCCTGGAGTGTATTCTTCCTTTGCTACACCCACCAAGCCACACCCACCAAGCCACACCCACCAAGCCACACCCACTGAACTGTTAGTAAAAAAAAAATGAATCCCACCACTGATCAGCACAGCAAAAAGGAAAACTGGACAACTTCCAATATTAAATTTAATAGTGTAGGCAGATAAATAACTAGCAACATCCAGCACAAAATTCACAAAAATCTTCTCTGGCTGCCTGCTGGTCATCTTTACATCACAGGACTCTTTTTCCATAAACAGAATGGAATTTGTAAACCAAATACTTCCTTTTAAAAACTACATTTACTGCAGTTATCTCAAGATGACAATGAAAGGAGTTGAAAAACCAGCTTGT